CATCCACTGGTTGGAAGAGGCTCCAGCAGAAGATATGGCTGAGTTCCTCCACTGAAAGATGCACCATGCAGGACAGAAGCCTTTTAGGAAGTGGTAAAAGCTTGGAGCCTACCGCTCTGTTATTCTGATGTGGTCACAGCCTGTCAGGAATGCACCATCTGTGCAGAGAAGCACCTTGCCGGCTGCCCCAAGATATGGGTGGCCTGTGACAGGGGACACCCCACTGACAGGTCAGCTACATTGGTCCCCTACCCCTATCCAAAGGCTCATGCTATGCCTTGATGTGCATGGACACAATTACTGACTTGCTGACCCAGGCAAGCAGGCCACACAGTGAGCCACCATCTGAGGCCTAAAGCAGCTTGTGCTGCCTATGGGAAACTGGATGTCATTGAAAGCGACCAAAGCACCCATTTCATGGGACATCAAGTACAAGAATGGGCAGACACCCTCAATATAAATTGGAGATTGTGTCTACCATACAAGCCCACTGGAAATGGCCTCATTGAAACGTACAAGGGTCTTTTGAAAGATGCCCTGAAGACTGACTCTAGCTCATTTCAGGGGTGGATGACCCACCTTTCTGAATGCCCATGAACCTTGAACTAATGGCCTAGGGTAGGACAAGCATCTCGCATCAACCTCCTCACTAGACCTTGGGTAGCACCTATCCACCTACAGTTAAGTACACAGGAGTCTCTGCCACGCCCTGGGCTGGGACAAAACATCACCCTTAGACTCTTCTCTGGAATCTCCTTTCTAGGGTGGGCCGGTATGCTAGCAGCCATCAGCAACTATTCTGATTGTTGGGTCTGCACTAAATTTCCCATTGCTGCCTCTGTCAACCTACCGTGGTGGATCCACCCTGTGAACCAGACATGTTGGGGACTAGCTGCAAGGCTAGAAAGCTCCTCACCTCTTCTTCGAGCAGATGCATGAAAACGTGTTTTCCCTCATGAGGGAACAGGCCAAGCTCACCAAGCCATTGCTTTCATATGCAGTTTGGGACGGTGTGGAGTGGCTGTCATTATCACAGGTAGAGGCGCAACAGCCCTTGCCCATGTGTATTGAATGCAGAAATGGTACTATAAATGAAACTGTTTAGCTCATGGGAAGGATGCTGGCAGCCCTATGCAAGAAGATAATAGTAATGACTGCTATAGACCACTGGGGGCAGTCTACTAGTGGGACATAGGCCCGTCCCCTCCCATGGGGAGCCCTGTGGGCCTGTATGGGCCTGTGGCCAATAGGTAGGCCTTACCTCCTATTTAATTGGACTGGGTGATGCACCTGGAGAGAACCATATATCTCAGGGTTGAGTGTCAAATACTTTTCCAAGTGTCCCTTGAAATTGGGACTCATTTTGGGCACACTGTTGAGTCAAGTGCTCTGACTGGTGGTTCTACACCTTATCCAGTTTTGTGCCTCCTGCTGGTATTATTCTAATCCATGAAGCTACTGAGGCCCTAGCAAATCACATAGTAATAGCCCTTAACCACACCAGGTATAGTACAGCCCTGGATTCTGATGAGGTAACTCAAATGAGGAAAGTTGTGTTGCAGAATAGAATGGCATTAAATTTACTCACTGCCCAAGAGGGTATCTGTGCCATTCTGCACACCGAGTGTTGCATATATATACCTAATAATTCTCACAGCGTATCCCAAGCCTTAACTGCCCTAGGAGCTGAGATGAATTGTATATTGGCCATAGCCTCTGACCCCTTTACAACTTGGTGGAATTTTCTAGGTTCCTGGGGATGTTCCTTTCTCCTAGGTCTCTTTGGATTTTGTCTTGCATTGTTGTTCTTGGGGTGTAGCCTTTGGTACAGTATACCAAAACTGTAATTTTGGTATATGGATGCAGTGTGCCAACATGCTCACCTCACAGGTCCCCTGTTGGAAGAATGTAATACAAAGAATGTGAGGTGGAAGAGCAGTGTTGGGGTGGAGTGTGGGGTCATGCTGGACATGGTTCCTCCAACCTCCACAATGGAAGGCTGGCCGGAAGGCCCCTGGCCAGAAGGAGTGTATATTGCTTTGGAAATGGATTGTAATTCCCTCGTTATCTCCTTTTGGGAGCGGCTTCTTGTCCTGTGTGATTGCTTCTTGACCTTTTCCCTCTGCATGTACACACTAAGATAATGTAGTTTAGAGTCACATGCAAGACATGTGCCCCCTTTGTCTGGGACCCTTTAAAAAACAAGTCTGTGACTCAGGGAGATGCGGTCAGCTTGGCTGATCTGCCACCACCTGTGCTCCCTTGATGTGAGTAGTAAAGGCTGTCTATGTCTGCTCCATCTAGTCCTCCTCGAGCTTTTTTCAGTTTACCTGAATGAACAGTAGAGGTCCCTGGGCTCGATCTGCTGCATTATAAGGGCTGAAAGACTTTTTCCCCCCAAGAAATAAACAAAATTTAACCTTTTAAAGATGCAATGCATTTTCATTCTCACAACTGTCCTCCTTCTGTCTTATAGTCAGTGAATTATAAATTATAGATTTCAATTTCATTTGAATACTTATAGAGTTCTTCATATTTGGGGGTTAGTCAGACATCATTTTGGGTAAACCACAGAGAGCTTTGAGAAAAGGCATTGACTTACAAATAAAATCAAAAGAAAAAGTTATTCAAATGTTGGGCATATCTTGTGCTTCCAGATCGACAAAGTAGTAGTAGTTAGTAGTTTCTATCTCTGCAGATACCATTTTTAATTATATTTGTCAGTGGTTCTTCTGTTCCTTGCCTTGTCAAACTCTCTGCTCTTCATTTACTTTTCTTTAAAACCTAAATCTTTGACCATCTCTTCCCAAGATTAAAATAAATCTATATTTTACCCTATTCTTTTTTCTGTGCATTACCCTTCAACTCCTTTTAGTATTATTTGCCAGCTTAGTGTTAAGCAAGAAAAAGATAGTCATTTAACTTTTATTTTAACTTTTCTATTGTTGTTCAAGTATAGTTGTCTCCATTTCCCCCCTCCACCACTACTCCCCCCTCACCCCAGCCATCCCCAATAGTCATTTAACTTTGAGTTTGGGTACTTTTCCATATAGCTGAATTTATGTGTATATGAATTGAAAACATTAAGATTTCACTTGATCTAAGTAAAATAAACCTTTGAAACCAGCACCCAAAAAAAGAGACATAAATCTTGTAGTTTTCTTCTGTATGAAAACATATTTTAATTTTTGAGAAAGATCAAATGAGAGAACACTAAATAATTAAGTAAAGATTATAGTGCTGCTCTATAATTACTTAGAAATAGTGTCTACTCATAGATATCCATACTGTTCTAACTCTTTAAGAGAAAAGGGTACTTTGAAATTTAGGCACATTTTTAGAGGAGGGAGGGAAAAGGGAAAAAGTAGAATAAAAAAGTGGAGGGGGATGATTTACTTAGATTGACATTTTTTAGTTTTTAAGTATTTGTTTTAGCTTATCTGCCAAACATTTTATCAACAATCTGTAAGAGGCTACTATCTACTTTTACTCCCCCAAATTATTATGGCAACTTTTTCCCAGTTTCCCAGGAGAAACTCTGTGTCAGCAATAGCAGGAGAGTGAGATATGATTGTGAGACTGAGAACTTGAAGGAAACGCTAAGATAAGCAAAGAGATATTTATACACAGAAGAGGTAGCCATTGTTTTCAAGGAAAACAGTGAAAGTAAAAAGTCCATAACCCAAGAATACAAAGACAAGTAAGTAACTGTCTTATTTCCCAGCTCATTTACTTATCCATGATATGCATATATCTATGCACATATCCAGGACTTGTTTGCTGGCCCTCAAAAACAAACAGTCCATTTAAAAAATGTCTGTGGGGTTTATTTTTACCAGAAAGTCTGTCCCTTTTTCAGCGCCTTTAAAAGTACAATGTTAGTAGACAAGACTTTGATAATCAAAGTAGAGAACAATTTACATTGCAGAAAGGTATTATGAAACACTTCTGTTCCTTGCCCCTTGAACTTTGGAGGAATAAAAATGTCTAGCACCTTCTTTTCTCTTCTGGAACTTGACCTGTAATTTAGATCCTGTTCCTCAGAGAAGTACCTGCCAGCCTATCTTTTTACAGCTTTAGTTACAAAGCAACTCAGGACTCACTGTCCTAAAAGGACAAACAATGGTGTGTTTAAATGGAGTAGAGCATAGACTGTTTAAAAAAGAGATGCCGAAAGTGCAGATGTTCTGTCCTTCCTCTTTCTGTTCCCTCTTGAAGTAAAAAGAGAATGAGGCAAGTGGCTGCTAGAATCCTTGCCTTATATCCTGGTTTGCCACAGGACCCTAATGGAGCAGTGGGATGTGTATGGTCCCCTCTGCCCACCCAGCGTTGTCCTAAAGCAGGAAGTTGATTGAAGAGTTTGACTAAGGTTGATGTTGGTAATAAATAACACACGTTCTTTCTGGTCGACTACAAAATGAGAGGACAAACTTTAGAATTTGAAAAACTAGATTCCGATATACTTCTTAAGCTCGAGTGAGGCTGGGAAAGAAGAAAGGGGGTGTGGGAGTCTTTTTTAGTGTTTACAGAACTTGGATGCTTGACAAACAGGGCACATCAAGCTAATTGTTCTTGAAGCAGGAAATCTGTAGTAGAGGAAGCAGGTGTTGTGTGATGATTACCACATTTGAAATTACTGTATTAACTACTTTGCTCTTTTGAGTTTGACCCTGAAATAGTCAGTAAGCTTTCTGGAAGATGCTGTCCCTTTTATCTATATATATACTCTTACTAAATCAGTTGATTATGATGGAAGAAGAAAGTGCTTAAGTAAATTTCAAACTAGATAGCATACATGTGGCAGTGTTGAAAGTATCCATTTTTCTTTTTTTTTATTTTATTTTTGACTTTCAGCATCCCATACTTTCAGAAAACCTGTAACTAAGAGTAATTCTTATTTTTCAAATTGTTTTCAGACATTTCATGTTCATGTAAAGTTGGCTTATTGATTTCCTGATTTTTCTTTATTTTTTTGTTTTGTCCATTTTATTTTTAATCAGCTACATCAAATGGGTCTTTGGAGGGCCTGGATAACCAGGAGGGAGGGGTGTGCCAGACAAGAGCCATGAAGATCCTCATGAAAGTTGGACAAGGTAAAGACCATCTGCTGCTTCATGAAGCCACTGTAATCTGGTTGAGTCCCCAGCTAGTGTGGCACCAGTATTGCTAACACTTGCCTTCAGTTGTTCTTCAGTTTAGTTTTGAAAGCAAACCTTTCTCTGCACCTTGAGCCACTGAGATTTCCTCAAGTCATTGTAACAGACTTCTTTTTTGGAGATTAAAGTTGAGGTCAGCCAGGTAGAATGTCTATTACCACATAATGTGTGTATATATATATTTTTCTTCTTAAAAGCAAAACACCTCTGTGGTTCAAAATTAAAATAGCCAGAATAAAAATGCAGTTTCTGCATTTTTGCCCATTTCTGCATTTCAACTACAGGGACTTTTGTTTGTTGAGCCTTTTCATTTACAGATAACCTATTGTGCAGAAAAAAATTATCCTTCTAATTAGAAATTGGGATAGTAGTTAATCAACTTGCTCGGTTAAATTGAAATGTCATCTGCAATGCTCTGCCTGCCAAATGCAAGAATCCCTATAGTTTCCACAGATGGCCTCACAATCTAAAACTCTGAAATAACTAGTATAACTGTTTTGTTTTAAAAGGAACATGATATTCTTATATCTCATAGTAGTTTGCATAGAGAATCTTATGTTCACTGCTATCCATGCCTCTTGACATATATATCCAGATCCTAAAGCTAGATTTTATCAGATGTCTGTGCTGTAAGTAATCATTTGTTTTCCATATAGATGCGAGTTCTGCTGGGTCAACCAGGCATAATGATCCAACAAGACGTTCAGAACTAGAAGCTGGTACAAATGGAAGAAGTTCAACAACAAGTCCCTTTGTCAAGCCAAATCCAGGTATAGCAGTGTGACCTGTGTGTGTAGGTCTGTGTGCACAATACACTTAGTATCTCAAGAGGAAGAACACAGTCGAAGTACATGCATACCAGTAGGATTAAATTGTAGTTACTGAAGTCAGTAATCTTTGCTCTCAGTTAGCTGTTATTAATTATTAAGTAAGAACAAATAATTCACTGCCACATAAGTCCTACATTCAAAAGAATGGAATTCATCAGATGTAAGTGCCGATTATTAGCATTGCTTTCTCAGAACAAAGTTATTTCCATTGGCTGACACTTTTTCATGCTGCTTGCAACACTAGCTTAAAACCAATGTTAATGTATATATAATTAATGTTCTAATCCCTCATCTAATTATATCTAATCCACAAAGTGCCTGACTGATCCTCTTCTACATTTTAGATGGTAACATCTCAAAATATTACACAATGCCATGTTTTTTAGGCAGTTATTGTAGAAAAACTTTTTTTTTTACATTTTCAGTGTAATATAAAATATTAAACAGATTCCTGGCAAAAGTTGAGGATACCAGACAAAATTGGCTGTCATTTAACTTCACTTACTTAACAGTCTTCGAACAAATAGCTATGCATTTGTTACCATGCTAATGGATTTTTTATATGGTAGTTGTTGAGCAGACATCAGCAGTTTTGTATTAGGAATCTGTATGCCTGGTTGGTAGTCATGCGAATTTAGCATTTGTAGGAATATTCTGTCTCTTTCCAAGTGTCAAGGAAGGGAGTTGTTATTTCTAACTTTCAGTGATAAGATGTGTCAAATTTTTATGACAAACTGATAAATGGATAATATAATGGTGCCAGGCAATTTTTTAATGCTTAACATTTGGGTTGGCAGTCTGTTCAGCATAAGAGTTTCTGCTGCCTTCCAAATATATTTTAAGTGTAAATCAAATAATACAAACGAGTTACGAGTTGAACACTCTCCCAGGCTCCATCACTCCCTGGTGTTCTGTGCTGCTTTGCGGGTAGGCAGGGCTTATCTGGAGAAGACAGGGGTTTGGATTCCCAGGAAGCCCCCATTTCTAGAGGAAAGCAGAGGAGCAGTGCAGGCCACTCCTTTTTTACCCCTGCCGTGGCCACAGGCTGGCCTACAAGGATTCAGGTATGAAGCAAGATCAAGGGCTGACTGTCACAGCCCATCCACGTGGTATGAAAAGGAAACGTGACTTGGGACCAGCATGAAAAGCACATCTAGAGTCACATCTGCTTTCACATTGATTGCTGACTTCTACCTTTTACATTTAGCTATTAAACAAGGTAATTGGTTTTCAAAGTCTACCTGCCAGTTAACTCTTTGGCCCTGCTTAAATTTCATATTTTTCAAGGGCCCTAAAAGCAGCCTGTTAGCACTCCGGGCAGCGATAACTGTTTTGGTTCTTTCTCAACCCGTGTAGGTTCTAGCACAGACGGCAGCAGCGCCGGACATTCTGGGAACAATATCCTCGGTTCCGAAGTGGCCTTATTTGCAGGGATTGCTTCAGGATGCATCATCTTCATCATCATCATTATCACGCTGGTGGTCCTCTTGCTGAAGTACCGGAGAAGACACAGGAAGCACTCGCCGCAGCACACGGCCACGCTGTCCCTTAGCACGTTGGCCACACCCAAGCGCAGTGGCAACAACAATGGCTCGGAGCCCAGTGACATTATCATCCCATTGAGGACTGCAGACAGTGTCTTCTGCCCCCACTATGAGAAGGTCAGCGGGGATTATGGGCACCCCGTGTACATAGTCCAGGAGATGCCTCCCCAGAGTCCAGCAAACATTTACTACAAGGTCTGAGACTTGGCAGTGCCTTCGCTTTCCCGGAGGAAACTTACTGTCCCGCTGCCACCAGCCCATGGAGGGTTGGATGACCCCTTGTGTCTCAAGTGGACCGAAGCACAGCGGGGGGAGGGAACACTCCTTCTCGGAAGAGCCCCGTTGAGTTGGACAGCTTACCTAGTCAGTAGCGTTTTGGCTGTGGTGAATACAGATGCTCACCGACAGCTGGAAGACTTGTGTAGAAGATGCCCGTTAGGACTGTGGCGCTTGCCTGACACCTCTGATCCTCGAAGCCATGTGCCGCAGTCACTCAGGCCTACTCGAAGCCAAGGGAAGAGACAGAGTGGTTGGTGGACAAGAGAGCCTTGAGCATCCTGGGTAGGTGCCCCGGGTGGGGATGCCACACCTGGAAATACCTCGGGTGTGCTCCTCGATTGTCGCACAGACCTCTGGCTAAGTGGGGCTTGTAAAGAGCTCTCGCTTTTAGTCCTCACTGTTGCACACTCCTGTTATCCAGGGCTCTGCCGTACTTCACATGAGATTTCCTCTCACACCACGTTCTGTATCACTAATCGAACATTAATGTTTGGGGTCTCCTGCTCCAACCATTTGCAACAACAGCTACAATTGAATGGGTAATAATACATTTATAGAAATTGTGTTTGCTAAGAAGGAGCCTTCCTGCCAGACACTAGACTGTCAGTGAGGAAGACTAGGAGTTGGTGGAAAGGAGTGGGCTAGGAGAAAGGGTTGTCTTGCAAACACAGGTCAACGCTGCTGCCTCTGAAACAGAAAGTTGGGAAACGGGAAAAAAAACAATTAGGTAGCACAGCACTTTGGTTTCACTAAGATTTTAAGAGGCAAATAGGAGACACAACAACACACACAGCGGCTTGGCTACATTTAAAGGATTCACTCTTATCAAATAGTAATGTGCAGGGAAAAAATAGGCCCTCTTCACTGGGTGGAACAAAGGAGCATTGATGATAGAGAAGCAGGCTTGGAGAGGGAAGGGAGAAAGCAGGCCGCAGATGGGAGATCCCACAGGACTGTTGTGGTACTGGCAATAAGATGTACAGCTCCGAAGCTGTAGGGAAGTCAGTCTGCTTTGGATGATGTTTAAAGCAGACTCAGCTGCTATACTTATCACATTTTATTAAACACAGGGAAAGCATTTAGGAGAATAGCAGAGAGCCAAATCTGACCTAAAAGTTTAAAAGCCAAAGGTCAAACAGGCTGTAATTTCATCATCATTTACATCATTAAATAATTCTCATATATTAAAGGTAGGTCAGATTCCCCTGTCCCCCTAATGCCCCTTCCCCATCCCTCTTCCCCAATTGAGCCTTATGACACTTTGGTTTCTGGCGGTGCTGTCCAGGCTGCGGGGACCACGGTGCAGGTACTGAGCAAGGCTGCACACAGGTGCTCTGTGTCAAGGTGAAGCACATATGGCAAACCTCTTAGAGTCCTTAAGACGGAAATAAATTATGATGTCAAGGGGGGAAAGGAGGGTAGGACGTATTTATAATAGGTGTATAGAACACAAGGGATATAAAGTGAAAGATTTTTACTAATATATATTTTAAGATTGCACACAATATACACCAGAAGATGTGAAATTCGTTTGTGGCAATTAAGTGGTCCCAACGCTCAGTGCTTTAAAAAAGAAAAAAAAATTGGACAGCTTCTTCTGGAAAAACAACATTGCTCCAAAAATAACAATAATGAGAGCAAATACAAAAATAACCAAGTCCTCTGAAGGCATCTCACGTAAGTGTAGACTAGGAAATGCAAGCCCCAAATACCAGGAAATCGATGTTACTGCATCATATATTTAACAATGACAAGATGTTCCGGCATTTATTTTCTGCGTTGTGTTTTCCCTTGCCTTATGGCTGAAGTGTTCACTAGAATCCACCAGGTCACATCGAGAGGGGTTCAGCTTAAAGTTTGGCTTTAGCTCCCTCTTCCCACCCCCTCCCCCCAGCCCCTCTCCTTCGGGAAACAAAATAAGTAAACAGGAAACCTACTTTTTATGTGCTATGCAAAATAGACATCTTTAACATAGTCCTGTTACTATGGTAACACTTTGCTTTCTGAATTGGGAGGAAAAAATGTAGCAACAGCATTTTAAGGTTCTCGAACCTCCAGTGAAGACCTGCAAAAATGAGTTGCAACAGAAATTATTCTTCTCTATTTCCTGAACCTGAAAATGATGTTGGTCCAAAGTGTGTATGTGTATGTATGAATGGGTATGTGGTATACATGTGTACATATATGTATAATATATATCTGCAATATATATTATATATATCTATATCATATTTCTGTGGAAGGTTGCCATGGTGACCAGCCACAGTACATATGTAATTCTTTCCATCACCCCAACCTTCTCCTTTATGTGCATTCATACAAGAATTTCTTGTAAGCCATCTAAAATTACCTTTAGGATGGGGGAGAGGGGCAAGACGGGGCAAAATGGGAAATAGTCTGATTTTAATGAAATCAAATGTGTGTATCGTTGGTTGGCTACATTTTGGTTATATTCTAAACTGTGAAAAATCAGATGATGAAGAGTTACCTGCAACCAATTGAAAAATGTTCTGTGCGTCTGTTTTGTGTCTGGTGCAGAATATGACAATCTACCAACTGTCCCTTTATTTGAAGTTGGTTCAGCTTTGGAAAGTTACTGTAAATGCCTTGCTTGTATTATCATCCGTAGTCACCTGACTTTGGAATTTGCACCATAATGTTTAAGTGAAGATGCTGTAAATAGGTTCAGATTTTACTGTATATGGATTTGGGGTGTTACAGTAGCCTTATTCACCTTTTTAATAAAAATACACATGCAAACAAGACAGAAATGGCTTTTCTTACCCAGATTGTGTACATAGAGCAATGTTGGTTTTTTATAAAGTCTAAGCAAGATGTTTTGTATAAAATCTGAATTTTGCAATGTATTTAGCTACAGCTTGTTAAACGGCAGTGTCATTCCCCTTTGCACTGTAATGAGGAAAAAAATGGTATAAAAGGTTGCCAAATTGCTGCATATTTGTGCCGTAATTATGTACCATGAATATTTATTTAAAATTTCGTTGTCCAATTTGTAAGTAACACAGTATTATGCTTGAGTTATAAATATTTTTTTCTTTCTTTGTTTTATTTTAATAGCCTGTCATAGGTTTCAATTTGCTTTAGTTCCACATTGCAGTTAGCCCCCAGAAAATGAAATCCGTGAAGTCATATTCCACGTCTGTTTCAAATTGAATTTGTTCTTAAAAAAATAAAATATTTTTTCCTATGGAAAAAGTGCCTTCAAAGTATTTTCCTTTTCTTCTTTTTTCTTTCCATTTTTCTTTCTTTTTTTTGTTTATTTTAATTTACCTTATACCCTATTCATTATGGTAGTTATCTGGGGCCTTCTGCCTGTGGACATTTCTGTGCCCGTTTTTCAAACAAAGCAGGACACCCACTTAATGGGAGTGCTAACCTTGCAGATAGCCCACTGGTTTCCCCAGAAAACGACTGGAACTCACACAAGGATTGTTTTATCATAAAGTTTTATAAAGTCCTAATCATCCTGAACAGAAAATGGCTCTGATTTCACCTGGATTGCACAGTCTGAATAGTAAACATACAAAATGAGCTGTGAGAAGAAAGGGAGGGAAACACACTTTTGTTATCTCAGTGCTTAATCCAGATTGCTCTAGTTTCCATTCAAACAAAGCAATTTGCTATCAACAGCTTCACTTTTCTTCTCAGAATAATCCCAGAGGAAGGAAAAAGTCAAATGTTCTTGGTAAAATTTTAACATTGATAAACACATGCTTTGCTTTGTGATACTGGATTGAGGCAAGTGAGAGGCCAGCAGTGAATTCAACCACATTTTCAATGCTGGCCTTTTTGGGGAAGGTGACCAAGCACTCAGTTGGGAGGGTTTTCCCTTGCTCTTGTGGTGTATATGTAGACTGGTCACCAGACTTACCTCCCTCAGGGGAGATCATCTTCACCTGCAGGATCTGAGAATGGTGGTGGAGCTGTGGCAGAGGCAGCTGCTAGGTAGGGACAGGTGCTCAGATCTATCAACATTATTTCAGGTTAATCCTTACCACTAGCAGGGAGGTATTTTAGGTAGAGAAGATGAGCAAGGCCACTGAAATGAGGAAGTGATCCAGAAGATTTTGCAGGCCCAACTGGCTTGCCCCAGCTCACAGTGCTAGTAACTGTAGAATTTGTTTTGAAAGCCCTCCCCAGGGGATTCTCCTGAAAGGCTGGTCTGAGAAGCAGGGGGCTTGCCGCATTTAGTTAGCACAGTACTTGGATCAAAGCAATGCATGTCAAATGCTCTCCTTCCTAAAACAGTAACTCCAGAGGCCCACAATTTTAGTTGGTGCTAGAATAGTAGTTTCATCTTAAGCATTTTACTCTGCTGCATCTAACTACCCTCCATTGCAAATCCAAGTTTTGAGGCACAATTTATAGCCAAGTCACTAAGCTGAAGGCCCCACTCTATATACTAAGATTACTAATGATGGTTTGGGTAAAAATAAAACAAAGAAAAAGTACTGCATTTTCAACATTTGCTTTGCGGCCTCTCTTATCATTTAAATGACCAAATACACCATGTCATTGTTTCCACTTTGTTTTTGAAACCACATTTTCCAAACTGAGTAAGCCAAACTCAACAAAGAAAGGATGAAATAGGCCCAGTTGTTTTTCTTTTCATCTGGTGAGGAGTCTCACATAGAGACACTTCTCGAAGAGGTTGTATAATCAGGCGCTCTTGATGCTGTCTGAGAGGTGAACCTGCTGTTGCAACAGCACTGCACTGCATCACTGAGTGCTGTCCCAGCCAGCTGGCCGCTCTTCAGAACAGCGCTCGCTGTTGTCAGTTCCCTTTTTGGTAAAACAGTTGTCCATTCAAACACGGTGGTGAAGATTCACGATGGACATGGGGAAAAAAATCAATAAAACATCAATCATTGGACTGTGCAGCGTACTGTCAGTCTTCTGCACCCAGCCCCTAGAAGAATCAGGAAAAGCTAAAAAGTGACATCCAAAGGAGGAAAATTCAATTTGTTCATGCATATAGAAAAAGAGTAACTCTCCTTTTTGGTTAGGAAGCAAATAGGCCTGCTGCTGGCTCAAAAGGAGGGAGAAGTTCTATGTAGTACAAGGACACTAACCTGGGTGTTCTGCGTTTGTTTTTGTTTTCAGAGGATTTGCAATTGATTGTTTGTGATATTTATACTCTAGACATATTTGAAGGCAGATTTTCAGTGTTGTAATGGAAAGGACTATTTCCTACCCTTCATTTAAGTATAGAAAAGTGATCTGAGGACATTAAAATGCTATGTTTATTTGTGATAAAGTACAGTACATCAGGTACATGAAACATTCTTAGTGATTAAACTGTGCGCCAAAAGCTAAAGATACATTCATTCACTGCAAGATTTTTATACTGTGACAAATTGACTAATAGAATCTCCTAAAAACAATTCTTTGTTGAAGTTAATTATATTTTAAAAAACAACCACCCTCTCATAAAAAAAAACAACCTCCACAACATAACTACAAAGCATTAGTTGATAAAATGTGTTAAACGAATGGAAGCTGAGACCTGGCTCCCACCTCTATTTCTGCTGCCTATTGCTCCACTGCCTTTCAGCAAATCCTTTCATGTTTTGTGCCTCCTCAGACACACCTGTAAAGTGAGAGGGTGGGACTGTAATAAAGGTCACTTTTAACTTTTTGCAGGATCTGAAGCAAAGCCCTCAGCATTTTCATCTGTACAAAAGTATCTTAATGCAAGCTTCTATTTATCCTGGCATCCGACAGGCAAGCCTCTGAAGACCACTAGAGTTGTTTGTGTGGACCCCCTCCCCTTTGGCTACATTTGACTGTTTGCCTACTGCTTCTCCATCACAAACCCATGTCAGGGCTCAGAGCTCTGCTGTTGCTTCTCTCCCATTCCTAGCATCAAAATTCAGAAAATCCAATAACCAACAACTGATTTAGACTGATTAAACTGAGACTTGTGCTCTTGTGTTTCCAGCCTTTCATACATAATTAAGTGGCTTTCTTTTCTTAAAAAACATTCTCAGTTCCCTGCAAGCAGGCTGCCATCTTCTATTTAAATATTTCATAAGGGCTCACCATGGGCCAGGAACCATGTTAGGTATTGCTGGTGGTCTCTTCTACTGGTTAACTTAGTTCAGCTTCACTTTGTCTTCCTTGTAGTTTTGAGCTTAATTTACTTACTTAACAGTTCATTCTTATGCTGGTATGTGGAACACATCCTTATTATTTATACCTCATTTGTTATTTATATCTCTGATTCTGTATTTGGTTGCAAAGAACTATATAACTGAAAAACATCTTTTAGTTGACAATAGTGCTATTATTTCCCAAGTGTCATGCATGCTTAGTAATGAGATGAGCAGTTGTGTATGTGTTTTGTTTTTAAAGCTATGGTGACTATCTTTGAAAGCCCAAAAACAGTAGGGGAGATAAATGTCATCAAAGAAAATTGTGTATAATCAATTGAAGCCAAGAACTACAAGATTCCTCATTTTTTGTACAAAAAAAATATGTCATTTTTGTGCAGTGGCTTCCTTAACACAGCATTAAAAAAAAACAAAAATGTGGTAGAAATGTTTAGCGCTAGGATCCATCAAGTGAAGAAAGGGGGGAAGAAAGAGCTGTGGGAATTGTTCAGACTCATCTTTCATTCCGGTACGTATTTGGTCTCTTGGTCCTTTATTAACTGGGTAATCTTCATATTACTCAGATGGGAGAGGTTTCTGTCAACATAACTCCAAATTTCTTTGTTCTACATGTGTATGTTAGCATAGTTTGGATTCCTGTCCACCCTTTGGATGAAGTGTCATTTGACTCAGAGAAAAAGCATACAGCCCGCAGCATCGGGACACCTCTGTCTGGAATGGCTGGCTCCTTCTTAGACCTCAGACAAACCGCATAGCTGTTCCTCCACTGAGGCCAGCTTTCCCAGCATGGGTTCTGTGAGATATTCATGGAGATTTCCCAAGGTTTAACTTGATTACATGCATCTCATTTTGATGTGTAGCTTATGAAACACAACATATCCAAAAATATTGTCTCTGTAATTTATCAGCCATGAACACATACAGATGAGTAGAGAGCCACGATGTGGAGGCAGAAAGAATGGTTTCAGCCATCCTCAGCTAAAGCCCTTTCATCGGACTGGTCCACAATGCTAACAACCAACCCACCCAGACAGACTCATGCTTATCTACAAGTCTAGAAGCTTCTGTATGCTGAACACACACACATACACACACACATACACACACTAATTTGTTCACTTAACCAGCGGGCATCTATTTAGTACTTCACATATGTGGGGCAGTGCAGTGTACTAAGCATGGGATTCCTCCTGTTAGGGAGTGCACAGTTCAGTCAGCAATTTAAAAACTTTCACGAATAACAATTAAGCAACTCAGACACGTTTATAAGAAGTAATAGTGATCATAACCACTCTTTTATTTCTGGAGTATCTTTTTTTAAGGTATTTATTAGGAGTCCTGTTTACATCCACCTGTATCTTCTGTTACTGTGGGTTGAATTTTTCCCCTTTTAAATCTTTCATTACATATATGCCAACTGCTGGTTAGATGCTAAATTTAGTATGACTGTTCTTCAGAACATCCTAGGAGTTTGCCTTAAGTGCCTGCCTCTGGCCTTAAAGGGCAAATCAAAATGTTTCCAATTGGTTTCCAGCCCACATTACAATGTGTATGTGTATTTGAAAGACTGTTTCTTGGCTATAATTGGTAGTTTTCTTGTAACTAGTTCTGAGGAAAGAATTGCAGAGAGCTTTATGTCTGCTAACAGTAGTTAGCACTGAACTCAAAAACAGCAGGAAAAAAATAAAGTCTCAGAGGCTGGATGTTTGCCAGAGTGACCTGCAAATTACAGGCAGCGTAAGCATTTCAGAAGAGCAGACGCAGGGCTCCTCCTGCAGAAACCCAGGTCTCTGCCTTTTAACTTCCCTCCTGGTAAAAGGGGAGAGGAAAGATAAGGAGCTGCTACCAACTCCCTTAAATATTTCAGATAAAAATAATGACTGTGTTAATCTCACTTTAACTTACATGAATTTATTTCTCCATATTGTTGGCTGACTCTCAGGAAAAGCCTGGAACACACCATTTTCCAGGAGCACGAGTGTCAGAAGTTCAGGCTGTATGTAGCAGTCACATACGAGTTTATAAAAAATGTCTCCTGGACGTGGCAGAAGCACTATTCCCCATTCCCAGAGAGGAAGTTAT